CAGAGTTAAGAGCGAGCGTGTGAGGAGTAAAGACCAAATACCAAAGGTCAAAGACCAAAAACCTAAGACCAAAGACCAAAGACCAAAGACCAGAGTGAAGAGTGAGCGTGTGTAAGGAGAGAGCGTGTATGAGGAACGAGCATGTGTAAGGAACGGGAGATGCTCACGTAGCCTCCGGCTACGTATGTTTCGACTGCCTGTGCGGCACTTCAAATATAAATTAGAAACCTTCTTTTTAGGAAAAATATCGGAGCGAGCGTGTGTGAGGAGCAAAGACCAAAGACCAAAGTGCAAAGACCATAAACTAAAAATGAAAGACCAAAGACCAAATACCAAAGACCAAAGTGAGGAGCGTGTGTGAGGAGCGGGCGTGTGTAAGGATAGGGAGATGCTCACATAGCCTCCGACTACGTATGTTTCAGCCGCCTGAGCGTCATTTCAAATATAAATTGCAAACTTTTTATCGGGGAAAATATCGGAGCGAGCATGTGTGAGGAGCGAAGACCAAAGACCAAAGCGCAAATACCAAAAACAAAAAACGAAAAAGCAAAGACCAAAGACCAGTGTGAGGAGCGTGTGTGAGGAGCGGACATGTGTGAGGAGCGGGAGATGCTCACATAGCCTCCAGCTACGTGTGTTTAGGCTACTTGTGCAGCCTTTCAAATATAAATTGAAAATATTTTTTCAAGGAAGATATCGGAGCGAGCGTCTATGAGGAGCGGGCGTGTGTGAGGAGCGAGAGATACTCATGTAGCCTCCGACTACGTGTGTTTTGGCTGCCTGTGTGGCATTTCGAATATAAATTGGAAATCTTTTTTGGGGAAGATATCGGAGCGAGCGTGTGTGAGTAGCGGGCATGTGTGAGGAGCAAGCGTGTGTGAGGAGCAGGACATGATCACGTAGCCTTCGGTTGCATGTGATTGGCCGCCTGCACGACAATTTAAAAATAGATTAGAAACCTTTTTCCGAGAGAGATATTTGAGCAAGTGTGTGTAAGGAGCGGGAGATGCTCATGTAGCCTCAGACAATGTGTGTTTCGGCTGCTTGCACAGCTATTCGAATATAAATCGGAAACGTTTTTTTGTAAGAAATATTGGAGCGAGCGTGTGTGAGTAGCGCGCATGTGTGAGTAGCGGCAGATGGTCACGTAGCCTCAGGCTACATTGTTTCGACCGTGCACTTTCAGCCGCTGCACGGCCCTTTGAATGTAAATTGGAAACTCTTTTCTAAGGAAAATATTAGGGCAAGCGTGTGTGAGAAGTGCGCGAGTGAGTAGCAAGCGTGTGTGAGGAGTGGGTGATTGTCATGTAGCCTCCGGCTACGTGTATTTCGGCCGCCTTCGCGGCCCTTCGAATATGAATTGGAAAACTCCTTTCCGAGGGATATCGGAGCGAGCATGTGTAAAGATCGAGCGTATGTGAGGAGAGAAGATGGACACATAGCCTCCGGATACGACTGTTTCGGCCGTGTAGCCATCCCTGCGAATATAAATTGGAAAAATTTTTTCGGGAGAGATATCGGAGTGTGTGTAAATAGCCACATATCTGCGGAGAGAGCACGTGTGAGGAGCGGCATATGGCTACGTATGTTCCAGCTGTTGCGCGGCCCTTTGAATATAAATTGAAATTTTTTTTTTTCCGGGGAGATATTGGAGCAAGCGTGTGTGAGAAGTGCGTGTGTATGAGGAGCGAGCATGCGTGAGGAGTAGCAGATGGTCACGTAGCCTCCGGCTACGTGTGTATCGGCCGCCTGGGCGGCTTTTTGAATATAAATTGGAAATTTTTTTTCCGCGGGAGATATTAGAGCGAACTTGTGTGAGTAGCGGCAGATGGTCACTTAGCCTCTGGCTACTTGTGTTTCGGCCGCCTGCGGGGACTTTCAAATATAATTAAAAACTTTTTTTTTTGGGAGATATTAGAGCAAGCATGTGCGAGGAGCGAGCGTGTGTGAGGAGCAGCAGATGGTCACATAACCTCCGGCTAATTGTGTTTCAGCTGTCTGCGTGGCCCTTTGAATATAAATTGAAACCTTTTTTGAGGGGGAAAAACTAGAGCTAGCGTGTGTGAGGAGCGGCAGATGGGCTACGGGTGTTTTGGCCGCCTGCGTGGCCCTTAGAATATAAATTCGAAATCTTTTTTTGGGGGGAATTATCAGAGCGAGCGTGTGTGAGGATCAAGCGTATTTGAGGAGCAGCAGATGGTCACGTAGTCTACAGCTACATGTTTTTTGGCCGCCTGCGCGACCTTTCGAATACAAATTGGAAACCTTCGGAGAGATATCGGAGCGAGCGTGTGTAAGGAGCAAGTGTCTGTGAGTAGCAGTAGATGGTCGGCCGCCTGCGCGACCTTATTGAAAATCTTTTTTCGAGGGAGATATCAGAGCGAGCGCGTGTGATTAGTGTGCGTGTTTCAGCAGCAAAGACCAAAGACCAAAATCAAAGACCAAAGAGTAAAGACCAAAGATCAAAGTGAAGAGCGAGCGTGTGTCAGCAAATGTCAAAAACCAAAGACCGAAGACCAAAGATTGAAGACTAAAGACCAGAGTGAAGAGCGAGCATATGTAAGGAGCAAAGACCCAAGGCCAAAGGCCAAAGATCAAAAACCAAACACCAAAAACCAAAGACCAAAAACTAACAACTAAAGACCGGAGTGAAGAGCGAGCGTGTGAGGAGTAAAGACCAAAAACCATAGCCAAAGACCAAAGACCAAACACCAAAGACCAAAAATTAGAGTGAAGAGCGAGCGTGTGTGATGAGCAAAGAGCAAAGAGCAAAGACCAAAGAGTAAGACCAAAGACAAAAGACCGAAGACTCAAGAGCAAAGATCAAAGCCAAAAGAGCAAAGAATAGAGTGAAGAGCGAGCGTGTGTGAGGAGTAAAGACCAAAGATCAAAGACCAAAAATACAAAACTGAAGACCAAAAGACCAAAGAGCAAAGAGCAAAGACCAAAGACTAGAGTAATGAGCGAGTGTGTGTGAGGAGCAAAGAAAGACCAAAGGCCAAAGACCAAAAACTGAATACCAAAGAGTAACAAGTAAGACCAGAGCATCTTTTAGGAATACCAAGGCAACTGAATAAATTTTTTTAAGTTTTGAAAAAACATATTCATGATGGATCTTGTTGGATAGATCTCATCGAGTATTATCAAAATGATATAAGACACTTGGCCTCTTTTTTTTCAATTTAAGAAATAAAATGATTTGAAAATTAAAGAAATTTTTAAAATCCAATTCCTAAAATTGTGGGAAACTCACTAGGGTTTGCATGTTCAACCCTCCTTCGTATATTAATTGCCAAATAAGGGTCTACATGTACTTAGTTACATGTACTTAATGTGCATGGTATAATTTTCGAAGAATAAGTAGGAGATATTTTGCCTTTTTGGTCTTTATTGAGTTTGATGATACATTAATAAATGGATGGATTACAAGAATCTTGGCAATCAAGGGAAAAAATGTCGTTCCTACCCAAAACTTCGCCCTCGTCGTCAATCATACCCAATAGATTTTCGGTTAGCCAACTTTACCCTAATGTTTGAAATTTTTGTCAATTTCGTCCAATTGGTCCATTTTCCGTCCAAATTAACGGATCTCCGTTAGTTTTTTAATAAAATTAAATTTAATTATAAAAATATCCCAGTAATTTTCAAAAATTTTAAAAATAACCCCTAAAATATATAAAAATAACAAAACAGTCCCTTTTCACTTTTTTTTTTAATTTTATTTTTCTCTATTTTGTTCCATTTCTCTCAGCTACTTTTAATGACCATAAAAGTCTATTATATGAGTTTTAAAAAAATATTTATTTATTTTCAAACTCTACCGTAAAAATTAATCTTTGTATAGTTGTAACCCATGATTGTGTTTATATAAGCATGTTAATTTCTTTAATAATATCTTTTAGCAATAAAGACACTATTTTTCTGATTTATTTTATTCTTCCTAACATAAAGATTAAAAAAATTTAAATGAAACTAATATTCCACATAAGAATAAAATATTAGCTCAAAAAAATATTAATATATTTTAGTGTATTACAATTTAACTCAAGAGACTATAACTTGCATTAATATAATTCATAAAAAAATAACTAAAATATAAAATAATTAAAACCTAAAAAAAAATCCTCCAAACATAAGTTTTCTTTCTTGAATCTAAAATTTATTTTCTATCACAACAACTTATTACCATATTGTAATCTCTCTAGTTAAATTATAATACAGATTATACTAATATATTATTTTTTATTTGAGCTAATATTTTATTTTTATGTGAAATATTAGTTTCATTTAAATATTTTTAACTTTTATGATAGAAAGAATAAAATAAATTAAAAAAATAGTGTCATTATTGCTAAACTATATTATTAAAAAGATTAACATGCTTATATAAATACAATCATGTGTTACAACTATACAAAGATTAACTTTTACCGTAGAATTTGAAAATAAATAAATATTTTTTAAAACTTATATAATATATTTTTATGGTCATTAAGAGTAGTTGAGAGAAATAAAACAAAATGGAGAAAAATGAAATAAAAAAGGGAAAAGGGACTATTTTGTTATTTTTATATATTTTAGGGGTTATTTTTAAAATTTTTACAAACTACTGAGGTATTTTGTATTTAAATTTATTATTTTATTAAAAAAAGTAACGGAGATCCGTTAATTTGGACGGAAAATGGGCCGATTGGCGAAAATTTCAAACATTAGGGTAAAGTTGGCTAACTTATTGGGTATGATTGAAGACGAGGGCAAAGTTTTGGGTAGGTACGACATTTTTTCCGGCAATCAAGGAATGTGGCAAATGTGTGTTCAATTCACAACAGATAAAATCAGATTACATAGTCACTTTGTTCTGTATGAATTCCATTTCTTTGATATATTCTGAATTACCAGCTCACCACCATACACCAACGCAAGTAAAATTCCCAACTTACCACCATACACCAACGCAAATAAAATTCCCAATGAGAAAAACACTTCTTTATCAAAACAGCATGGGTTATAGGGTTGTTTTTGCTGTGATGATTCTCATGATAAAGACAATATGCAATGTAAGCAGTGTTAGTAATGAAGATAGCCACCCTGATGATCTGAAGGCTCTGCAGGATTTCAAAGCCAGGACTACTTTTGACGATTCAAACCGGCTGAAGACGTGGACATGAGTGAATTGTAGCAACTGGCAAGGCATTTCTCGTGACAACGTAACTGGTAGAGTCACGGAGATAAATCTCCCGGCCCGATGACTATAGGTGATGCTCGAACACAGACAACAATAGACAACAATAGGTGATGCCCGATGACTATAGGCTAGTTATCGCCTTCCTTACACCTTTTCAGCTCGCTTAGAGTGCTTAATTTGTTTTGCTTGTCTGGACTCCATGGACAGATTCCTCTGCTCATAGGAAACCTGAACGAACTTCGACTTTTGGAGCTCTCCAGGAATAACTTTAGTGGTCCAATACCAGAAAGCATTGGTAATCTATTGAACCTTGAAGGAATGTACCTTGGTTATAACCATTTCTCTGGTCCTTTTCCTTCAAGCATTGGGAATCTCAATAAACTTCAGCTTCTACATTTTCACTCAATCCACATTTCTGGTCCAATTCCCGAGTCTATTGAAAATCTCACAAGTCTTACTTCCCTAGATCTTAGATCAAACCAAATTTCTCGTGCCATTCCTAAGTTCATTAGTGAAAACTTGATCAATTTGGAGAACTTGTTTCTAGGAAACAATTTTCTAATAGGGCCTCTTCCAGAGAATATTGGTAATATGCAAAAGCTCGTCGATCTTGATCTGTCAAACAATAGGTTACAGGGCGGAATCCCGGATTCAATAGGCTACCTAAAATCCATAAAAACGTATTGATGTGAACATCCATGGTAATCAAGTCCAAGATGATCAAGATGTTCGGGTTCCAAGTACTGTCCAAGCTCAAGGAGTGACTCAAGATCCATTATCCAACATTGGAGGCCCAATGATTCAAGCTAGAAGTAAAAGGATGAGGAGTGCACTTAATAATCTTATATCCAATGGTTTAGCCCAAGAGAATGTCAAGTCTAGAAGTTACAAGCCCAAGATTATTAATGTGTTACGAGGCCCATTTGAGGAAGGAAATTTCGGCCCACAAACCATGCAAGGGAGGCCAGCCCTATCTCCTAATTTTTAGGAGTTGGAATCTCTATATTTTAGGGATAAAATCATTTAAATCTTATCACACTTGTGGAAGGATAAGATTTGGAAGATTCCCTATCTTTTAGAGACAAGATCATTTAAATCTTATCCTTAAATCTTATCACATGGAAGGATAAGATTTGATATGATTCTCTTTTATCTAATTTAGAGTTTATTTAAAATAAGAAGTCTATTCCTTGGTGTCTACTCTCAACCGTCGGATGGAGATTAGATCAAGATTGGATGGCTATGATTACTCTACAAAGAAGATATTGATAAAGTTGACAACTCAGGAAGATTCTTTTCAAGATAAGGATAAGATTCTTTTGAGAGAATATCTCTTTGTATTTGGAGTTTTATTTTTATTAGACTAGTGTGTCTTAAGTCTATAAAGGTGTCTAGATACATTGCCTTAATAGATAAGACACAAGTTGTCAATTAGAGGTTAAGTTGATTTCTAGTTCTTTAAAGTAGGAATAGAGTTAGAGATCAAACTCTTCTCCTATTTCATAGGAGAAATTTCGGCCCCCTCTACTATAAATAGGTGTGTTTGGCCAGCATTTTATTGGTACCTTTGATGAATTATTTCAATATGAAACGAGAGGAAACTCTTTGTTCTTTTACTACTCTTTTCGAAGATTAGTGCATTGCACACAAGCTTGTGCTTTGTTGATGCGTGCGAGTAGAATAGGTGTTTTTCTACTTGTGGAGCTTTGTTAGTTGTTCATTGGAGCCTTTTCGCTAGCCGTTCTAACCATAAATCGAAGGGATAGGGTTGTTAGAGAGGTGACCGATTGGGTTGCTAACCTTAAACACTTTCTACATCTTCTGAACCTTTCCATCCCTTTTTGGTGCAAATTTTTGTGGTTTGCATCTCTTCTTTTCTTTTAATTTTTGTGAGTGGTGGAGTCCATAATATTGGATTTGCAAGTTATCAAGTCCTGGGAAATTCATAGCTTCCGCATCGAGGTAAATCTGCCACCTTTGCCTCAAGATTCATATCAATTGGCCTCAGCGCTTAGGTTCTTGAATACTTGTTTTTGTTTTGATCTACTAAAGCTCATCTTTGGTTAGATCTCTAATTGTTCTTTTGAATTTTTGAGTCTTTTATTATAGATCTCACTATTTTGCTTCGATTGTATTCTTGTTTGATTTGCTTGAAATTGTTATAGGTAGATCCATTATTGTTAGTAAAAAAAAAAAAAAACAACGTTTCTTTCCCTAAATTATCGGATCTAGGGTATCTTAATCCCTAATCCACTTCTTTTTTATTGGGTCAAAAAAAAAAAGCCGTGAAAAAAAAAGGTTAAAAAAATAAATAAATAAAAAGAAAGACGGCATAGATGGATATTGGTATTTGAGTTTGATTTGAAGTGCAATTACTATTATTTGCACATATCTTTTTGGAAATACTTGGATCTTTGGTGGCTAGGGTTTCGCAAATATAACCCCTTTATTGGTGTATTGGCCGAAACTAGGGTTTTATCCATAACCCTAAGTCGAAGCTTTTATTTTTCAGAATTTGCTCCAAGTTCTATTAGCCTTTCGTGAGATCTAAGTTTTCATAATTGTAACTACTCGATCTATATTCGTGTTCTTCCTTAGATCTTGTTACAATTATTTGCAGAACCTTACTTTTTGATCCTCTTTAATTGTTTCAATAAAGTACTTCTTGTAGCACTAGTCTTCAATGCACAAAGGATTAAAAGACAAAGACAGTGGTAAGAATAGAGTGAATCCATCCCTTACTAAATTCTAAACCTTCTTGAAAGATCTTGGGGAGTGAATAGAATAGTTGGGAGGGGTAACTAGGAAGTGAGTTCTTCGATATTCTTTCTCTTGTTCTTGTGTGTGTTGAGTTGTCTTTCAGGAAACATGGGAGACAAAGTTCTACCTCCTCCTCAACATGGAATGTTGAATGATACTGTGCAAGATTTTAAAGATAAGATTGCAGCATTAACCGATCAATTGCAACTTATGACGATGGCAATGGCACAACAACAACGACGACAAGAAGAGACCACTCGCCAACAAGAAGAAACTGCTCGTCAAATAAACCAACTTGCCCAAGTTAGGGATCCATTGGTAAACCCTGGACCTAACCTGGTTGCACGTAGGAACATCCGTGGCGGACGTGGCAATGTCAGGCGTGGTCAAGGTGGTGGACGTGGTAATGAAGGACAAGATGGTGACCGAGAAGAAGAAGGTCAAGAAGAGCGAGAAGAAATTCCAAGGGGACAAAATGATGATGATGGTGTTGAGCATGAAGAAGAATTTAGGCATGATCGACAAAGGCGGCCTAGATTTGATGATAACATGAACACTATCAAGCAGAAGATTCCAGAATTTCATGGCAAGCCAGATCCTGATGCGTATATTGACTGGGAAGATCATATCAACCGGATCTTTAATCTCAACAATTATTTTGAGGGAAAGAAGCTGAATTTAGCTGTGTCAGAATTTCATGGATATGCTTCTACATGGTGGAATGAGGTACAACGTCGGAGAAGAAGAGACGACGATCCCGCAATCACCACTTGGGGAGAGCTTTCACGTGTAATGCGAAAGGCTTTTGTCCCAGCATCCTTTCAAAGGAAGCTTCGAGGTGAGTTGCAAGATCTTAAGCAAGGAAGTAGTTCGGTCATGGAATACTACCAAAATATGAATACTTTGAAGCTTAAATGTCAATTGGAAGAAGATGAGGAACAAAGTATAACAAGGTTTTTACATGGCTTGAACCTTCCCATTCGACATAGAGTGGAGTTACAGTCTTATCATGATCTAGATGATTTGGTGGATAAGGCCGACACTATTGAGAGGCAAATGAAGGAATCTTTGGCTGCAAGCAGAGCAAGGACATCTTCCATTAGTACATCATCCTTTGGTTCAAATCGGTGGGGGAGTACTCCTAAGAAGCAGATACTCCAAGTTCTAGTCAACCTAAACAGCTTGCTTAAACCGGCCGAGGTTACCAAGCCATTGGAGAAGACACCTAGTGTTAAACCGGGTTCATCTGCCAATGTTCAATGCTTCAAGTGTAAAGGAAGAGGACATTATGCATCTGATTGTCCCAATAAGAAGGTAATGGTACTTCGAGATGATTGGTACTATGAAAGTGAATAAGAAGATGTGTACGATCAATCTAATATGGTTTTAGCAACAACCGAGCAAGCTACAACTAGTCAAATGTATGATAAGGGAGCTTCTGAGAGTGAAGATGAGGTTGTCTATGAGGAAGACGTATCTCGAGCTATGGTTCTAGCTCATTCTCTTAATATCCAGCCAGCTCAAAACAAGAATCTCGAGCAACGCACTAATATTTTCCATACAAGGTGTAAGGTGAATAATAAGACGTGTCTTGTGATTGTGGATGGAGGAAGTTGCACAAACTGTGTGAGCGTGGAACTTGTCAAGAAATTGAACCTTTCTACATTCAAACATCCTCAACCTTACAAGTTGCAATGGTTAGATGATCGTGGAGAAATTAAGGTTCGGTCGCAAGCTCGCTTACTCTTATGTTTTAAAACGTTCCAGGATGAAGTTCTTTGTGATGTGGTTCCAATGCAAGCATGTCATATATTGTTGGGACGTCCATGGGAGTTTGATCGAGGTGCAAACAAAGATGGGAAGACAAATCAGTATTCGCTTGTGCATAAGGGTTTGTCTATTGTATTATGTCCGTTATCTCCTACGGATATCATGGAATCTCAGAAAAAAATGCAAAGAGAGAGAGAGAAAAGACATGAAAGTGAGCCGAAAGAGTCAAAAGAGAGTTTGGGGAATGGGAGAGAATCAAAAGTGAGTGAGAGTTTGAGAGAAAAGCCAAAAGCTGGGGAGAGAAAAGGCAGCTTTTATGCTTCTATGGGAGACCTTGGGAGGGCTCTAAATACTCGCGCTCCACTTGTTTTAATTGTTTACAAGGATTTATGTTTAACTAACACTAACCCCATTGAAAATATTTCTAGTGTTGTTAAAACTGTTCTGCAGGATTATGAGGATGTTTTTCCAGAAGAATTGCCAAAGGGACTTTCACCTTTGAGGGGAATTGAGCATCAAATTGATTTTATCCCAGGATCAGTAATTCCTAATCGTCCTACATACAAGGCGAACCCCGAGGAGACCAAGGAACTGCAACGTCAAGTCGAGGAACTCCTTGACAAAGGTATGGTTCGTGAATCTTTAAGTCCTTGTGCAGTGCCTGTCATTTTAGTTCCTAAGAAAGATGGAACATGGCGTATGTGTGTGGATTGTCGTGCTGTGAATAAAATTACTATTAAATATAGACATCCCATACCTAGGCTAGATGACATGTTAGAAGATTTATGTGGCTCTTGCATATTTTCTAAAATAGATCTTGCTAGTGGCTATCATCAAATTCGCATGAAAGAGGGTGATGAATGGAAAACCGCTTTTAAAACTAAATTTGGTTTATATGAGTGGATGGTTATGCCTTTTGGTTTGACTAACGCTCCTTCTACTTTTATGCGTCTTATGAACCATGTGCTTACACCTTATATAGGTAAATTTGTTGTGGTTTATTTTGATGATATCTTAGTGTATAGTAGAGATGAATTTTCGCATACTAAACATCTTTCGAGTGTGCTCTCTGCTTTACGTGAAAATAAACTTTATGCTAAACTTGCTAAGTGTACTTTCTGTGTATCAGAAGTTATTTTTCTTGGTTTTGTTGTTAGCAAGGATGGTGTTAAAGTTGACGAGGCTAAGGTTAAGGCAATTCGAGAATGGCCTACACCTAAGTCTGTCTCTGACATTCGTTCCTTCCATGGTTTAGCTAGTTTTTATCGAAGGTTTGTAAAGGATTTCTCTACTAAGGCTGCACCCTTAAATCACTTAGTAAAGAAGAATGTTAGGTTTGAATGGGGTGAAGAACAAGAACTTGCATTTAACACTTTAAAGAATGATTTAACTTGTGCTCCTGTTCTTGCATTACCTAATTTTGATCTTACTTTTGAAATTGAGTGTGATACATCTGGGGTTGGAATTGGTGCTGTGTTAATGCAAAGTGGTAAGCCTATCGCGTACTTTTCGGAAAAATTAAGTGGTGCAACATTAAATTATCCTACTTATGATAAAGAATTGTATGCTGTAATTAGGGCTTTAGAAAATTGGCAACATTATTTAATGCCAAAAGAGTTTGTTATCCATAGTGATCATGAGTCTTTGAAATATTTGCATGGACAAAACAAATTGAATAAGAGACATGCTAAATGGAGTGCATTTCTTGAATCTTTTCCTTATGTCATTAAGTACAAGAAGGGAAAAGAGAATGTGGTAGCTGATGCATTGTCTCGTAGATCGTATGTACTTTCTGTGCTTGATTCTAAGTTATTAGGGATTGAATACATCAAGGATTTGTATGCTACTGATTCTGATTTTTCATCCATTTATGAAGCATGTGAAAGTGGCGCATTTAACAAGTTTTATAGGTACGAAGGTTTCTTGTTTAAAGATAATAAATTATGTGTGCCTGCTTGTTCTCTGCGTGAACTATTAGTGCGTGAATCTCATAGTGGTGGTCTTATGGGTCATTTTGGTATCTTGAAAACTTATGATGTTTTATGTGAGCATTTTTATTGGCCTAATATGAAACGTGACGTAGAAAAAGTTTGTTCTACTTGTATTGAGTGCAAACAAGCAAAGTCTAAGTCACAACCACATGGGTTATATACGCCTTTACCTGTACCTACCCACCCTTGGATTGATATTTCAATGGACTTTGTTTTGGGATTACCTAAATCTCAAAAAGGGTGTGATTCAATTTTTGTGGTAGTTGATAGGTTTTCTAAGATGGCTCATTTTATTCCTTGTCATAAATCTGATGATGCCAAACATGTAGCTGATTTATTTATGCGTGAAATTGTTAGATTGCATGGTTTACCTAGAACTATTGTGTCTGACAGAGATGTTAGATTTTTGAGCTACTTTTGGAAAACTTTGTGGGGAAAACTAGGTACAAAACTATTGTTTTCAACAACTGCTCATCCTCAAACAGATGGCTAGACGGAGGTGGTTAATCGGACTCTTGGTTCATTGCTTCGTGTTTTGATCCAAAAGAATCGTAAGAATTGGGAAGCTTGTTTGCCTATTGCTGAATTTGCATATAATCGTGTTGTGCATTCTACTACCCAATATTCTCCGTTTGAAATTGTTTATGGATTTAACCCCTTAACCCCTTTAGACCTGTCTCCATTGCCTGTTTCTGAGTATCTTAATGCAGATGGAGCTAAGAAAGCTGAGTATGTACGTTCTCTTCATGAGAAAGTACACATGAATATTGTGAAGAAAAATGAGCATGTTGCGCGAATTGCCAACAAGGGGCGTAAGGAAATGATATTCGGACCTGGTGATTGGGTTTGGGTTCATTTAAGGAAGATTCGATTTCCTACAAAGGTTAAATCGAAGTTAGATCCTCGTGGAGCTGGTCCTTTCCAAGTTGTCAAGCGTTTGAACAACAATGCTTATCAACTTGACCTTCCTGGTGAGTATAATGTTAGTGCGACTTTTAATGTTTCTGATTTATCTCCGTTTGATTTCTCAGATGATGAAGCTGTACAAGTTTTGGATTCGAGGTCGAATCCTTTCGAGGAAGGAGGGAATGATGTGAACATCCATGGTAATCAAGTCCAAGATGATCAAGATGTTCGGGTTCCAAGTACTGTCCAAGCTCAAGGAGTGACTCAAGATCCATTATCCAACATTGGAGGCCCAATGACTCAAGCTAGAAGTAAAAGGATGAGGAGTGCACTTAATAATCTTATATCCAATGGTTTAGCCCAAGAGAATGTCAAGTCTGGAAGTTACAAGCCCAAGATTATTAATGTGTTACGAGGCCCATTTGAGGAAGGAAATTTCGGCCCACAAACCATGCAAGGGAGGCCAGCCCTATCTCCTAATTTTTAGGAGTTGGAATCTCTATATTTTAGGGATAAAATCATTTAAATCTTATCACACTTGTGGAAGGATAAGATTTGGAAGATTCCCTATCTTTTAGAGACAAGATCATTTAAATCTTATCCTTAAATCTTATCACATGGAAGGATAAGATTTGATATGATTCTCTTTTATCTAATTTAGAGTTTATTTAAAATAAGAAGTCTATTCCTTGGTGTCTACTCTCAACCGTCGGATGGAGATTAGATCAAGATTGGATGGATATGATTACTCTACAAAGAAGATATTGATAAAGTTGACAACTCAGGAAGATTCTTTTCAAGATAAGGATAAGATTCTTTTGAGAGAATATCTCTTTGTATTTGGAGTTTTATTTTTATTAGACTAGTGTGTCTTAAGTCTATAAAGGTGTCTAGATACATTGCCTTAATAGATAAGACACAAGTTGTCAATTAGAGGTTAAGTTGATTTCTAGTTCTTTAAAGTAGGAATAGAGTTAGAGATCAAACTCTTCTCCTATTTCATAGGAGAAATTTCGCCCCCCTCTACTATAAATAGGTGTGTTTGGCCAGCATTTTATTGGTACCTTTGATGAATTATTTCAATATGAAACGAGAGGAAACTCTTTGTTCTTTTACTACTCTTTTCGAAGATTAGTGCATTGCACACAAGCTTGTGCTTTGTTGATGCGTGCGAGTAGAATAGGTGTTTTTCTACTTGTGGAGCTTTGTTAGTTGTTCATTGGAGCCTTTTCGCTAGCGGTTCTATCCATAAATCGAAGGGATAGGGTTGTTAGAGAGGTGACCGATTGGGTTGCTAACCTTAAACACTTTCTACATCTTCTGAACCTTTCCATCCCTTTTTGGTGCAAATTTTTGTGGTTTGCATCTCTTCTTTTCTTTTAATTTTTGTGAGTGGTGGAGTCCATAATATTGGATTTGCAAGTTTTCAAGTCCTGGGAAATTCATAGCTTCCGCATCGAGGTAAATTTGCCACCTTTGCCTCAAGATTCATATCACGTATCCTACTAGATTCCAATTTTCTCACAGGAACCATACCTTCCTCCTTTAGTAACTTGCAATCACTTAATGTATTGACACTTGGTCATAATCAGCTTGAAGGGATTATCCCTTCCAGTTTTGGGAATATGTCTTCATTATTTAATTTGGAGCTAAGTTGGAACAAGTTGTCTGGCACAATACCGAGCTCTTTTGGCCGCCTAACATGATTGAAGGAGGAACATTGCCCCCGGAGATGTCTTCCATGAAAGAACTTCAACATCTCTATGTTTCGTTCAACCGCTTGAATGTTGCATTCATCCCAAATTGGCTTATAGATTTGCAATTTTGATCTCCATCGGCTTAGCTAGACTACATGAAAATTGCGGCAAGAAGATGGGCAGAAATAGATTTATCAGCTAATAATCTCACTAGAAGCATACCAGAATGGTTGGGAAGCTTTGATATTAACTATTTGAACCTTTCCCATAATTCGCTTTCTTCTGAGATTCCAACCACGTTCAAAAGTTTCCGGAATCTGTACCATTTGGACCTTCATTCCAACAGATCATCAGGTTCTATAGCCTCAGTGTTTCAAATAACCCACCCCTTTGATGGGAGGCTGGAAAGCCTTGATCTCTCTGATAACAGCTTTTCAGGTGGTATTAAGGACATTGGTACCGGAAAGCAAGTTAACATCCAACGGGTGAATTTATCACACAATCAGCTCCAGGGTACAATGCCGGAATCAGCTGGGAATTTGACCAAACTTTCTGCCCTGGATTTGAGTTACAATCAGTTCAACTCTGTTCTGCCGGAAACATTAGCCAAGATTGAGAATTTTAGATAAGCTGATGCTGCATAATAATCAGTTCACAGGTTCAATACCTCAAGCGTTCTTGGATCTGAAGCATTTCACAGAGATAAATCTCTCAAATAATCTTCTTTCAGGGCAAATCCCGTTCGGGAAGCCGCTGATTGATTTTACTCCAAGCTCGTATTCGGGGAACAAGGGATTGTGTGGTGTACCTCTTGACCCTTGTAGTAGTAGTTCTTAGCCAGCTTATTATATCGGACCCTGAATTCCTGAAAAAAACCCCTTTTGATTAAATGTTCCGGTCTTCTGTATTTAGCAATTTTCTGTACTTTCTGTCAGAAGAAAATTGTTTGAGCTTTTATTAGTTATTGAAACTGAGTATGATGATTAAAAGATAAGAAATAAAAAAATAAAAGCCCAAAAAAAAGTGAAAAAAGGTAACTATAATAGTAGGTATAAAGGAAATACCAAACAAATTAGCTGTTGAGATTTTCAAACTCACTAAAAATTGTTGGAGTGAGGTTAAAATTAAAAACAACTACGACCACATAGAAGACAACCAAGAATTAACGTATCTTAGACATTCTTGGCATGGGAGAAACTTTTAGTTTTTTTGTAGATGATAAAATCGAACTACTGAAGGATTGTTTCCACTGGCTATTATGTATCACCAATCACGATTGTTTGACACATTTGCAAATAATTACGTTTGATTTTCAACACGAGAAATTTGGATGGATGGAAACTTCAGTACTATCTTTTTTCACGACTAGAAAGCTCCCCATATTGGTACTCTTTATCTTGAGACACAATATGCATTTGTCAAAAGAAATATACAATTTAAGACACTTGTATTACTGCACGTACTAAAACTTTATTAAGACACAAGAAAACATGTCATAATACTATAATAGACCGTGATGTTGAGATATTTATTAAAGTTTTTGGAAAAATTTAGCTAAAGGGCAGTAGAACAAGTTAAAATTAATTAAAAAATGATATGACCTTAAAATATTTTTGATGAAGAGGGGTAGTTTATTTATCAAAAATCACAAAATCAATATAATTTTATTAAGACACAACCACCCTTATTTTTTTATTACTCTTTTAAAATCATAAAATACATTAAAAAAAATTTACTCTCTCTTTTTTCCCTCTTACCCTTATTTTTTGTTTGAAGTATTAACTTCTTTAGGCTAAATGGTTTTACGATAATCAGCAAAATCTAACTAATTAGTGTAAATTATTCTTCATTCTTTCTATGCATTTCTTTGGGATTCTTTCCTACTGTGATCCTCAAAGCTGCAACAATCTACCAAGTAAGAAAAATTTTCTACTTCAAGATGTACTTTAGTTGGTGCTGCATGAAAAAACTCTAAAAAATGAGTCTGGGAACTCAATATATTAAAGAAGGATGATACAAACAATGGGCTAATCAGTTCTGAAAGCTCAATATATTACTAGCAGCAGCTTATGCATAAGAATACTATAGAAACTTTTGCAATTCTAACCCTGAATCCCCTACTCGAGTGAACTGAAATCTTGGTAAATTGTACCTCACAACCTATGATTGAACGAATAAACAGAGGTTAATTTCTAACATGAAAACATGCTATTCGTGTACACATTGCTCCCTGCAACTCGAGGGAAGAGCCTTGTGGAGATGGAGGAGTTGTTTGGCTCATTTTTTTAGGTAGAGGGTCAACAATCAAAGAGTTCAGGAGAAAGAATGAAGAGTAATTTACATTAATTAGTTAAATTTTGCTGGCTATGTAAAACCATTCAACCTAAAGAAGTTAATTAGTTCGAACAAAAAATAAAGGTAAGAGGGAAAAAGGGTGAGTGCTTTTTATTTTATGTATTTTATGATTTTAGCTTATATGGTTTTAGCTCTTGAGTTTTAATAGTGAAGACAACCGAATTAGAACCCTGATTTTCATAAAAGAGGGGATTGTAGCTGGTGGAAATTAAACGACTTCCGGTGGAGAATGAAGTCTTCGAATCAAGGTAACACTTTCAAGTTAATTTTCCATTTGAATTTGTTGTTTCTTTCTTAGGGGATCTTATGGAATATATCTCGATTTGTCTTTTTGAATATTATGGATGGGTTAATTTAGTTTTGAATAGATTTCTTTTGTTTGGTTCTTTTAGTATTGAGTCATTATTGGGGAATTAGAAGAGATTTAGCCAGATATTTATCGGAAGTCGAATCATTGATGGAATTAGTTCAATTCAACGTTTCTTCTTATTCCATATTATCAATGTACAAACTGCTCTATATAAAAGTCAGTACAATTGGAGAGGGTGTTTTGATCGACTTCATCTAGGACCAGGTAACGACACGTACGAGTTTGTAACTTTCCAGCTGCAATTATCTCTGGAATCCTTCAAGGCTTTCCAACTACAATGATAGGCTTGTTCTTCGTAAGGGCCCCCAACAAGCTTCTATTTGTAACTAATAACTTTCTTCTTCTTACTTTTTTGGAATTCCATATTAGAAATGCCCTTCTTCATTCTATTTTTCTCATTTCCACTAGATATTGTTCCGGATTCACTTTTAAACCCAAGGCTGGCAATGGTGAGAGGTCCAGCCTCATGATCACGGGCAAAATTGCAGAAATTGCTGTTATTAGTAGCTTCAAATGTTGTTATTAATGATCTTCTTTTTACTTTCATATTAATATAGAGCAACATATGGAAGTGGAATTTCTAATGCTGCAGTAATTGGCTTTGTAGAAAAGTATGTGTAATGGCAATAATCTCTATTTCTTGAAGAATTTTAAAATTTAGTGAAGTGGGATTGCAGATGATCAACTGAAAAATGAAGCTGAGCAGATAACAACCCCGACGAAATCAACTTCCAGTGGAATCAACGGAATTCAACATGCCCAACAGTAGGTAGCTCTTGCACAGCAGAAGATTGCAAAATCGGGTCGTAATTTATACTTTGGCCAACATGCCCAGAAACAACTGGTTAGTTACTTCAAAATGATGGCAAATAAATAGTTCTCTTTGTCACTAAATTGAGTAGTCCAGCTCAATACGGTTCCGGTCACAGTCTAGACTCCCTTCTTTCAGTGTTGCTAGTGCTCCTCTGAGTGCATCTCTGGCCTCTGCTTTGGCCATTGGTGGTAACCAGGCTGATCACAATCACTTCCGCCTTTCCAAACATAGTCATTTATGCAGAATGAGGTTCTAATGCCAAGGAAGATTAAAGTTGTACAAAGAAAACAAACATAGTCATTTTATACCAGGACCGGGCCTTCGTAGATGCTTTTGCAAAATTTCATTAGTTTACCTTAATATCTAGAGTTTTTCCGTTAAGAAGCACCAAATACATTTTATATCAATACATACATCTGATTGTACAAACTCTAATACAAATACAGTACTTGCATTACTTTTTTTTTTCATACTTCTCAGCATCAGAGGATATCGTGTGTTGTTGACTTGCAATCCAATGTTGAGAAAAATCAAATTTAGTTCAAGTCTTACACTAATCTAACTGGAGCTCAAACTCAAGTTCGTACCTATAGAAAAATAGAGTTAAGCTCAAGAAATACCGGTCAATAAAAGTAGATTCTCAAATCGCAAATCTGCATTGATATGACAAAATGCCTTCATCATGCACAAATAGATCTCTAATACTTCCTTGAAACCTAATTGAAAAAGATGAACATCAATAATACTTCCTTGAAACCAAATTGAAAAAGGTGAACATCAATAATACTTCCTTGAAACCCAATCTATAATAATTCCTTGAAACTGAAATGAAAAAGATAAAAACCAGTAATACGTATGATATGATCTTCAGAATTGAAACCGAATTGGATTAGTATTTTAAAAACTATGAAATCTTGTTCCAATCGACAACATCTCATAAATTAAATCATGAATTTCAAGTTCTCAACAAAACCAGGGTTAGACTAATACCAAACAATAAGTCCCAAATTGAGTCAGAAACTGACTGAGAGATAGCTATGGAAAAAAAAGACGAGAGAGAAACAAAAGGAGAAAAGTGAAGAGTTACAGCAGTAGATTGATTTGGGAAAAGGATAAACAAGTCATTTTAATTTTAAAAGATATGAGGTTATTTTAATATTCATGCTGATATGTAAAAAAAATGCCAATGCCTTTAAGAATAAATTTGATCTTTCCCATGCTTTTTTTTCAAAAAAAAAATAGGAAAAAGAAGAAGAAGAAAGAAAACAGCTAGAAGCTTGGAACATAATTAATTGACGCATAGGATGATTAAGAAAAAGGGGAGAAAACCCTTGTTGGGTTAAAGGAAATAAAAGCCCCAATCTTTCCAAGTACCCCTTCTCCATGTTTCTCCAAAGTCGCTACTTCATTTACCCATGACGAAGAACACCATAGATCCGTCTAAAGCTACGTGTTCAAAGGTTTAAGGTAATTGCAGATCAGATGACTATGTTTGTTGGACTGATTTTTGACAAATCTGGTCCACATGAGAATGGGCCGATTGCAACACTTTAATGGGGGGGAAATCGGTTTGAAGCCCGCCTTGGTTAAAATTCGTAGATGCAACAGAGATCGAGGAAGCCAAATCCAAATGAGTCAATGACGCCGCAGTCCATATCGAAGAAGGATTCCAATTGCAACAGGAATCCTTGCGGAATTCGACTTCTGTTGCAACCTAGCTAGGGTTGGTGGAATCAGTATAAAAGCTATGAAGGAGGCACCAGGAAGGACACAACTCATTATCCAAGAATCAGAAATCATATTTTCCTTTATAGCTTTGTTCTTTGCAATTTTAAGCTTTTATGTATTCATTTATTTTTGAGCTTTAACGTTGTAATTATTTAGGTGATTTAGGCTATTCAAAGCCGATTCGTTTTCATTCAATTAATAAAACAGGCTCTTGCAAGCCGTTTTATCCATTTCTTAGAATTTCTCATTATTCGGTTGAGTGTCAATTCAAAGGCATCATCCTGTTTAGGACAATTTCAGCGTTTGGTTTACGCACGTTAAGAATATCACGCAGTCGCTTGAAATTAGTTTGAGTCTAATCAGTTTCCACTACAAAATACAATTTTGACTCAAACATAAAATTTGGCATGCCCGGTGGGACCGATTTGCGTGTTCCAGACATTGTTTATGTAGAAAAACAATGTCATTACCTCAATCATCAGCAACAGCACATTCGGCAGGACAGGGCTCTATACCGAATCAGACTTCTGCATCAGGTTGGAGTTCCTTGCCGATGAATACACTTCCAAATATTTCGACGGTGGATTCCTATTCAACAGTAATAACAGATCAGTCCACTGGGATAGGGCGACAATCTAGCCAGCAACAGTCCAATGTGGGATCAAGTCTGTTTGGAGAAAGATCGAGTTATCTCGGGTCCTATAGAAGTCCAGGGTTTCAAACTCCAGCCTTTCAGGGCCCATTGTTTCAGGTTCCTGTGTTTAGTAGCCAGGGCGAAACGAGTTAGGTTACAGTGATAACCCCTGAGATCTTGCATCAACAATTTTCAGAAATAGAGCATGTTGTGGCCACACAAGTGGAGCGTTTTGAAAATGCTTTTCAGAGGCTAACTGACCATAATGCAAATAGAGGAAGTGCTGGACCTAGTAGATCTATGACGTCAGGAGTTAATACGGCTACAGGAGCAGCGAGTTCAGAGGTGCCACCAGTCAGTATGGTTAATAATCCTTTATATCATGCCATATTCCAGACATCTGCAACAGATACTCTGGTGCAGAATCTCGGAGCAGGACCAAGTAACAATGGATCTCACAACGCAACATTACAAGGAATACAAAGTTGATATTATCCAGTTATTCCGAGTCAGCCAGCTTTTGTGTCACCACCAGGGAATTTTACCTTTGATGGACAGCAGTTGCCTCCATTGTCCCCTCAATATGGAACACCAGTGATGAGGCTTGGAACGTCATGGGGACAACAATCACCCTATCAAGGATTCCAGGCGCCATGGCCGGTGACTCCGGGAATGCAACAGGTGGGAAATGCAACAAATAATACTGTTGCAAGGAATGCGCAAGAGACCAATCACTTCCAGTTGCAAAATGCTGCATTTTCATAGCAAGTTTTACCAATGCAACATCAACAAGGATCAACAGCGGTTTTATCGCAACTGAGTGGACAAGAAGGTGTGCCTAGACTAACGTACATACCACAGGGAATAACAGATGTAGGTGTCCAAGGAGCTGCGGGTGTAACAATTAATCAAGGCCCTGTTGGTACGGGAAACAATCAAGGTGCTGTCGGTAAAAATGCAAGGCAAGCTGGTCAACATGTACAAGCGACCAATGACCGCCGCTTTATATTATATCATAACCGAGTATCAGGAAATAATACTGCAGCTGCAAATTTGGATGATCCACACATACCTCAAGGCTCTGGTGTTGTGGTTGCTGATCCGCAAATTGTTCCACCTCATCAGACATTGGAAGAGAATAGAGAGGAACAATAGTGGATGGAATACGAAGCAAATCAGATTCTGAACCAAAATAGGGCACAAGCTATTGGAAGACATATTTGGAAATCAGAATTTGGGAAATAGACACAACCCACATCACCAGCGTTTATGGGGCCAAGGAGGTGGTCGTCATCGAGTTGATCTTGGTAATGAAGTTCGACAAGAACCGGATGCAACAGCGAACGATAATTAGCAACAAAATTTTGAGACGGGTGTTGATCAGACTTTAAAAGCTGAGGATGCATTTTCAAGAATGATAGAATACAAGATCTGTAAAGAGCTAGGCACAGAAATTCCAGAGATTCCAGGAAAGCCATATCCTGACTATGTTGAATGGGAGCCATTGCCATGGAACTTTAAGATTCCTGATTTTCAGCAATTTTCAGGAGAGGATGAGAAGAGACCCGAAGACCATATAAGTCTGTTTGAATTGCAGTGCGGGTCAGTAAGCAACAATGCTTTAATCAAGTTGCGTTTGTTCCCCTACTCTCTAAAAGGGACTGCTTTTGACTGGTATCGATCATTAGTGCCAGGTTCTATTCCGTCATGGGAAACGCAGTAGTGAGAGTTCTTGTCCTACTTCCGTAGGGATACCACACGATTGTCAATCGTTGATCTCTCAGAAATTCGATAGAAGTTTGGAGAAGCTGCGGAAGCTTTTTTGATACGCTTTCGTCAAATGTATGCTAAAATCCCAGATAAGTATGATGAGCCAACTATTGTCAAGATGGCAAATGCCGGAATTCAGGATTACAAAGTCAAGTTAGCTGTCGCACCACATTCTGTTCGATCCTTGAATCATTTGGCAGATATTGTAAGAAGATGTGAGAAAGTCATTAAAGATAAAAGGGAGAAGAACCCGGGAAAGACGAAGCAATGGTTCAACAAAGCTCCATTAGCAGAAGTGAATCAAAGTCAATGGGTTCATGATGAGGACGACGATGAATATGAGGTTAATGCTGCTGAAATCGTCAATGTCCGTAACTACACGTGTGACGCATTACGTCGCCCTACAGTTCCACATTCTTATAATACTCCCCCACCGGTAGGTGCACCGGCAGGCACCCCAGGGCAAGCTGGCGGAGCTAACATTGGTAGAGTATATTCTTTCGACATATCGCAACAAGAGGCCATCTTTGATGACATGTTCCAGAAAGGCCATATTCAGTACAGAAGGGGATACAGACAACCAAAGCCATTAGATCTAGTTGGAAAGATGTATTATAAATACCACATGTCATGGACTCACACCATAAACGACTGTGTGGTGTTTCGGAATAAACTTCAAAAGATGATCGATGATGGCAATGTGATAGTAGAAGATCCAGTTGAAATGAATTTTAATCCTTTCCCGCCACAGCACCAGGTTTGAATGGTGAATGTAGGATTCGGGAGTCATTCCTCTGACACATGTTTAGTCACTAGTTGTGAAGATTGTGACAAAGTATATAATAAGGTCAAGCAACAGCTGCAAGAGCTAGGATCTAAGTTCGGAGGCCATTTGCATCGACATAATGCACGTCCATCTGCCACAGAAGTGAATATAGTGATAAATGGATAGATGCAGACATGGGTACAAAAGGAAATACATTTAGATCCGGAGCAAGAGAAACTAAGAGCTGTGTCAGATGCAATCTTGAATGCTTTGAACCAAAATCTGCAACAGAGTTTACAACATCAAGGTTTGCATACAGAAGTTCTTCCGACGCAACAATGAGTGCCCTTCCATACAAGATATGGGAATACCATTTTCAGCCCTAGGGCTAACTCGCCATATCAAGTTCATAATAGAAGACCATCAGTGTAGCAACGGATTCAGCATCCCAGCCAAAGGGACAATACAGAGCCCAGGTCAGTCAGAGCAGCACCCGTGAATGATAGAGAATGGCATCGCGTTGTTCATCCCAAGTTCCCTACTCCACCATTAAGGAAAGAAAAGATGACCAGGACGCAGAAACGACGATGGCAGAGGGTTATGAATAAACAAAATAGGGATGCAACAAGAAAATTAGGCACGGTTCAAGAGGAACAATCCCCATTTTCCCAGCAAACGTCAATGAATAAGTTTTCATGGCAGGAAGATAGACGGTCACAATTGTGGGGAAAAGGAGACACGTTCTTCCCACTAGTAAACATGGTTTATATGTTACTGAAAACTTTTTGTTTGAAAGAACCTGCAACTGCAACAACTATCATCCCCAAAGCTGCTGCAGACACATTGGCTGTTCCTGAAGTGACTTCAATCGTAACAAAAGCACATGATGCTACAGTTGGTGGTATTCAACTACTATCTCAAGAAGGGAAAGGCCCGATCATAATACTCTCTCCGCCAGCTGAGAGCTCTGGGACTCACATTCGGCCATTATATATTTGCGCCATCATGAATGGAGTACCATTGAGACGAGTGTTAGTGGACAATGGTGCAGCAATTAACATCTTGCCTACAAGAGCTTTACAGAGATTAGGCAAGCAACTTAAGGATTTAGTGCCGACTGAAGTTTTTGTCAGCGGATTTACAGGAGACGTTACAACCACTAAAGGAATCTTACCATTGCAAGTGGAGGTAGGATCACAAGTGGTGGTATCGGCATTCTTTGTAGTTGACACTAAAGCATCTTACAATGCTCTTTTAGGGCGCGACTGGATCCATTCAGCAAGATGTATTCCTTCTTCATTACATCAAGCGATTATTACATGGGGAACAGATTGACCAGAAATCATAGCTGCCGATGCAAGTCCATTTGCAGCTCAAGCCAATGCTGTAGAGGCTTATTACTATGACAGTGAAGTAGGTCCATACCGTCTTGTTCGGATGGATAAGTATGGTCGGCCACAACATGCCACTATGCGCCGTGATATGAGTCTTCCAGAGTGGAAATTGCTTTTACAAGAAGTCAACAGGCCACACAATTATAACGTGTTAAGCCCGTTGCCAGCTCTTCCGTCTATTGAAGAAGTATCTAATGAAGACAATTGAACGGTTATGTGTTATGGATATGATGGAGTTGGATCAAGAATTGTTGCAGGCAAAGGAAAAGCAAGCCGCCATTAAGCGTGTGTTGCAGTATTTTGAGAACAAGCATCAACATCAAATTGAAATGCCTATGGTATGTTGGGATGAAGTAATTTATGATGCAGATCCAGTTTCAGATAGTGACGTCATTGATTTGAATGAATTGGCTACTGCAACCCCAAAGTTAAGTGATGAGGCGGTTGTTACCAAAGAACCAGTCGAAGCAGTAAATTTAGGATCATCTGGCAAGGAAAAGCCCACTTATATCAGTTCTTCCTTATCCGCCGATGACAAGAAGTCACTAGTTGATCTTTTGAAGCAGTACCGTGATTGTTTGGGACTATTTGAATGCCGGGTTTAGATCGAAGTTTGGTAGAACACAGTATCCCTTTGAAAAAAGGTTTCAAGCCATTCAAACAACCACCAAGGAGGTTTTCAGAAGATGTGGTCAACAAGATGAAAGAAGAGATTGAACATTTATTGGCAGTTGACTTTATTGAAGTTGCAGTATATTTTGAATGGTTATCTAATGTGGTCCCCGTTATCAAGAAAAATGGCAAAAACAGGGTCTGTACGGATTTCCATAACCTTAATCTAGCATCTCCCAAGGATGATATCAAATGCCGAATGCGGAAACATTAATTGACAGGTTAATGGGTTTTCAAGTCATGAGTTTTGTTGATGGCAACGTTGGATATAACCAAATTTTCACAGCTCCTGCAGATGTTCATAAGACTGCTTTTCGTGCGCCAGGATCCTTAGGCATTTTTCAGTGGAAGGTTATGCCATTTGGCTTAAATAATGCCGGAGCAATGTACCAAAGGGAAATGAACTGCATCTTTCATGATCTCATCAGAAAGGTTCTGGAGGTATACATAGATGATGTAGTGATGAAATCACATTCCTTTGGGGATCACTTACAACATCTGCGTTAGTGTTTTGAGCGTATGAGGAAGTATAAACTGAAGTTGAACCCATTGAAGTGCGCATTCGCTGTTTCCTCAAGTGTGTTCTTGGGATTGTTAGTACACTCCAGGGGTATTGAAATTGATGCAGAAAAGGCTAAAGAAATCATTGAAGCTAGGCCCCCAAAGACAGAGAAAGAGTTACATAGCTTAATCGGCAAAGTTAATTTCCTTCGCCGATTCATTTCAAACCTGTCGAAGAAGCTGAAACCTTTCTCTCCACTTTTGAAAGTGCAATCTGCAATAGATTTTGTGTGGGGTGACGTGCAACAGCAAGCTTTTTAGGATATTAAACAAGCTTTATCAACTCCTCCATAATGGTTCCACTAACATTGGATAAACCTTTAAAGCTATATTTGTCAGCAACAGAAGAGTCGTTGGGTTATTTGTTAGAACAAGATGGTCATGACGGATTTGAAAGAGCTATATAATACCTCGGCAGAATGCTTACAGACACTGAACGTAGGTATCCACCGATTGAAAAGCTTTGTTTAGCGTTATATTTCACTGCGACTAAGTTGCGGCATTATATACTTCCGAGACTAGTCTGTGTTATTAGTAAAATCAATCTTGTCCGCTATATGTTGCATCGACCAATGATGAGTGGCCGGATTGGAAAATGGGTCCTGGCTTGATGGAATATCAATTTCAACACGTACTGCAATCAACAGTGAAAGGGCAAGCATTAGCAGATTTCCTGGTCGCACACCCTTCACTTGACGATGATTTGGATAGCAAGTTCCTTAGTACTTTTCAAGTGCACCAACTAGAAACTCCTATGTGGATAGTACATTTCGATGGCTCAAGAACTTTTCAACGTAGTGGCGCAGGAATAGTGCTTACACTTCCTTTTGGACCAAAACCGCGATGTCAACTTCGGTTAAGTTTCAAAGCTACACATAATCAGGCTGAGTATGAAGGATTAATTCATGCACTTGAGATGCTTATATATAATGGTGCAACTCATGGAAAGGTCATTGGAGATTCTGCCTTAGTCTTTGGCCAAATGAAGAAATTAATGAAACGAAGTGATGAAGTCATGGCCAAATATGCAGCAGTTGATATGTTAGCTGTCCGATTCCAGCATATTGAGTTTTATAACGTTGAAAGAGATTTCAATGCAGAAGCAAACGATATGGCACAGTTAGCGTCCAGGTATCTTAAAGTGCCATTGGGACCAGACATTGCGTCCAGATTTCGATACCCCTGCCTAAGTCAGATATCCATTGAGTGCAGAATTTTTTGCTGCAACAGTTACTGCAGCAGAGGATTGGCGAACGCCAATTATTAGGTTTTTGCAAGACCTGACACACCATACACCGTTATCTATCCGGAGACTGGCGCCCAACTACGTGTTGTTGCAAGGGCAGTTGTATTGTAAAACACCTGATGAAGTATTCCTTCAATGTTTGGGAAAACCAGAGTCCATGGTCTTGATGTTAGAAACACATGAGGGTTTTTGTGGCGCCCACTAAGGAGGCAAAAAGATGGCATGGCTACTTCACCGCCACGGTTATTTTTGGCCAACTATGATTCCGGATTGTATAAATTTTGCCAGAGGGTGTGTAGATTGTCAAAAACATGCTGATGTTCCACATACACACCCAGAATCAATGCAGTTTATAGTCAAACCATGGCATTCCGGTGTTGGGCTCTTGATGTTATTGGCATGATTCATCCACCTTCTTCTGCTGGACACCGATATGTTCTAGTTGCAACAGATTATTTTACTAAGTGGGTGGAGGCAATTCCTTTAAAGGATGTAGATCAGAAGGCCGTTATCAGTTTCATCAAAGAATATATCATCTACAGGTTTGGTTTGCCGGAAATAATCATCACAGATCAAGCCTAGTACTTTACCGGTCAAGATATGATGCAGTTTGCAAAAGATATGGGTTTTACCCTAACTCATTCTTCTCCTCATTTTGCTCAAGGTAATGGTCAGGCCGAATCAACAAACAAAATCTTGAAAGGACTCATACAGAAAATGATTTTCGATAACCCACGGCAATGGCATGACGTGCTGCGTCAAGCTTTATGGGCTTATCGGGTAACACAAAGACATAGTAAAAAGGCAACCCCATATAAGTTGGTCTATGGGCATGATGCCGTGTTTACTGTGAAAACACTAGTCCCTTCCTTTCAAATTGAGCAACAGTCTCCTTTGGATTCCGCCGACTATGCAACAGCTATGCTAATTGATCATGACAAGTTGGCCCATTGTCGCAACATAGCAGCGGCGAATATAATTCACCAGAAAATCGAGATCATCTGGGCTTACAACAAGTTTGTCAGATATAAGCGTTTCAATATCGGCGCAATGGTGTCGAAAGCAATCTTACCTTTAGGGCACAAGGATCGTGTTTATGGCAAATGTAGCGGCCCTTATATAATTCATCAACATTTAGGCCAGGGTGTCTATGTTTTGAAAGATCTTGACGGAACAATCGCAGATAGATCCATCAAGGCATCATATTTGCACAAGTACTTTGATACCACTTGGCATCAACTCAGCACTGAAGAACTACAGTTAGCAAGAGATATTGCCGCCAAAAGATATCAATAAGTGAGAAGCAAGGACATTGTTTACTACTAACAAAAAAACAAAATAAATTGTTTTGTACAGGTCACAGATCACTGCAACGCCAGGAGGCTAAACCAAAAAACAAAATATAAAGCAGGGTTCAACAAGGTATCAATTCCCAAGCAATATCATATCTCTACTAGAGGGGTTGCAGGCCTGCTAGCTAACGGTGCCACATCAAGGGCCTCTTCTTCAGGTGGTGGCACATCTTGTGGCATTTCTGAAGTTGTTTGCCTTTCTTCTGCTGTTGCACCGCCTTCAGGATGACTTAGAGGGGTTTGACTCACGGGCATTGGAGAGTTGGGAGCTGTTCCTACTTCCTGCGTTAGCTTGGTGATGTTATTCTTCAGAAAGTTCCAGCTGGTTTTTGCACCTTCTACAACTTTTTCAACATCCTGGAACTTGAGAAGAAGCTGATTCACAACGGTGGTCATTCGCCCATATCCATCAAGTGCCACATCAGTGTCCGCAACAACACCACTTAGCTCTGCCTCCAGTTGTTTGCGTTTGGCTTGTGCCTTCTCCAGTTCTTCCTTTGCCTTTGTTTCGGCAGCAATAGCTTCTTTGATGTTGGTCTCCAGTTGCCCTGCCTGTTCAATCAGTTGTTCAGATAGCAATTTGTTCTTCTCCTGCAGGCCATAAGCAGTCTGATATTCCACAATATGGGGAATGAAAACACGGCATTCAATTTGCTTTTGGGCTACTTCTGAAGACACTAAACGTATTGCCGCAACCATATTCCCTTCGGTGATGGAATTCTGGATAATGGTCAGCAATTGGCTTAACTGATCGTACCTTTTGCTGTATACTTCTTCAGCAGGCAATTGGAACATCTCTGTGATTTGTTGCAAAGCAACTCCTAGAGGCATTTCAGGGACACTAGACATTTCTTCTATTTTCACATAGCTGCCGCTTTTGTTTGTTCCAGTCTAGCTTTGAGTGACTCTAAGGATGGAGGAGCTTTCTTCCCAGAAGCGGTTGGAGTGCTCGAACTGGCCGTTTTCATTATTTTTTTGCTTCTGGCGCCGCCAGTCTCAAGAACTGTTTTCTGCACAGTCTGATCTTCAGCTACTGCAACAGAACCTTTCTCGCTGCCTGGGCTCTCTGCTTCTTCCTCTTCACTCTCAGACACAGATACGAGATTCTCCTGTACAAACATGGCAAAAGGCGGAAAATAATTGTCAGTATTCCGTTTGTCAAGGTATCATCATGCTGATAATATTATTGTTACCTTATTACTGACTTCACTAGAAGACCGCTTCCCTCGTTCAACCTCTTGGATCGAGTGGTGGAGGTTGGAGAATTCTTCCGGACACTTGTTTTTGCCTTGACAGCAGTGGTTGCAGTGCTCTTTTTGCTTCATTGACCACCAGTCTTTGCTGCAGCACCACTTTTTCCTTTCCATGCAAATATAACATTCAGACACATGAGTGACACAAAGAGATTTATTTACAGCATTTATTTGGACAATAGTTGTTTTACCTTTCTTCTCTGCTTCTGCAACACCACCAACTGTTTGTTCTTTGCAAACTTGCCAATGCCAAAGGAAGTTTTGATTGCCTCATACCTAGAACCGTACATAACAATTGACAATTCATACCACCAGTCTGCAAATCCAGCTGTTGCATTGAAACAGAAATTGAAAGGTATTGTTGCTGCTGATCTACCTCTCAGATCCATCAACTCCCGATGCGTGGTATATTGAGCCATTGTGAGCTTTTCCCTACCAAGTCTCCCTGTATTCCAGAAGGATACATCAAAGTACGGCACGCTTTGAGCAAACCCAAATTGCCAAGCCACCATATTCGCCGGATAATATTCGGCATGCATGTCCGCTACTACGTTCCGGGATTGTGCGCTTTTACAGCCATAAAATATATCCCTTGCTGATAGCAGATAGCTCTATACAGATGCCAAGCCAAACTTACCATTATTGTCCCATTTTCCGCTCTCTACTTCAGTATGACAACCTTCCCCAAAGCTTTTATGCCACCAGTCATGGCTGAGTTCTTGTACACTCGCCTCAATGTTGGGGTTCAATTCAAAAATAGTCTTGAAGACCTGTGTTGCATCATAGTTTGGTCCACTATATTGATGCATACCAAGGCACAAAGGTTCTCCACTCTCCACAAGATAGATACCTTCTGGTTTTAAGCTAGGAAAGTACATATATAACTAAACATGCAACAACCATACAGGGCCACAGATTGTAGCACCAGGATTATGCTTGGCTTCATGCAAAAATGATACAACATAGCAAGTATAGCTTCTGCCAAGTTCATTTGGACTCCAGATGCTAACCTATCAGCAACATGATACTAATCCATAGTCATTTGAAACGATTTTCCAGGAAACACATACCTGTTCAACCACATAGCAAGAAATCAGATATGATGTAACCGACTTGTGTGCCCTTTGTTCTCATTGATGAAAGGTCCATAGCTTCTGGAAGCTCGAGATTGGACTTTCCAATCCTAAACGCGTCTTGCCTTGGAAACAACCTTTATATCCTTTTGAAGTTAATCGTGAGAGTTTTAATTTTTCTTCCAATTCAAGTGTTGAATCTCAGTTAGTTTCAAAACCCTCTTCCAAGTTTCATTTGTGTCTTTCAATTTCTTTTCTGAAATACAAAATGATGCGATCAAATTGTGTTGTTTGAGGATTGAGATAATAAAACCTTTTGATGCTAACTTATGCTGGAATTTTAGGTATTTATTTGTTTTGCATTGCCCTACTTGGGAATTAAATATCATGGTCAATAAAAGAATCAACAATTTTATAAATTGAAGCATTATTTTTATGTACATAGTAATTCAATTGCCATCGTAGAATGTGAGTTTTTTTTTTTTCTTTCAAATTTACATAAGCATTTTCGTAAGTAAATTCAACTAACTTTCGTAAGATGATAAATATATAATGATAACAAATCTTCAATCATAATACATTAACAAAAGAAGCACACAGTTACAGGCACCACAACAAATATGGTATATTAATACCTTTATGGTGGGACACTTTTTCATAAGATATGTCTCATTATATGTGTATTAGGACATTTATTAGAAAAGTGTCCTATAAAAAAAGGAAAAAGTATGCTCATATAATGAACCACTATGATAAGTGTATTATTTAGGTAGTTTTTGTACTATTAGCTTGCTTATGAGTCACTTTAAAGTGTATATTAATTGACAATCTAATAACACACTATTAAATGTCTTATGACCGACTATATGTCACTCTATCAAGAGTCACTTCGAGATGAGGGATAAAGGTCCTGATAAGCCACAAAAATGGTAATAGTAAATCCAAGACTACGAATGTAGTCTACAAAGAAGTGTTGCAAGACATATAGGTGGTGTTTGGACAACGTTTTGTTTTAGTTTTTGATTTGAACTTGGGAGGAGATTTAAAATTTAGTTTAGTTTTTGATTTGGAAAGTATCATAGCATAGTGACCATTTATGAAATTAAAATAGTTCATTGACTAGAATGAAGACTTTACAATAGTGTAATGATCAAACACAAGACTTTACAATAGTTCAGGACCAAACGCAATACTTTACAATAGTTCAGCAACCAAACACAATAAAGATTTTACAATAGTGTAATGACCAAACGCAATATTTTAAAAGGTAAATTAAAATATTTTTTGGACAGTGCATTAGATTTTGTATTTATGAGGTAAAATAGGACAAAAAGTAAACAAGTGGTTGGACAAATAAGGTCATAATCATTTAATTCGAAGTTGATTCTTTTTTGTTTTTTTATTTTTACTTTTTTGAATTTCTTAACGATCCTCTTTGAATTAAATAAATTACCGCCGTATTTATATATTAAAGTGCTGTTAATTTTTGTGTTTATATTTAACAATGAACTCATTATACATTTCATAGTTCACATTTTATAAAAGTATAAAATCTATAAAAATAGTATTGATATTATTTTGCTTCGCTTGTGTTGTAATGTGTCTATATGTGTATAATGTGTCTATATCCGGTTACTAGCATTGCCAATAGTACTTATCCTAATTTCTTAAACAATCTCAAAAATGATCACATTATGGCCTTTATAGAGAAAGATGAAGTTCAATACCTGAGTTCTGATAGCATATGCCATTCTGAAGGTAGTGTAAACACGAAAGAAGGAATGTTAATACATGATTTTCTCAATAGTATAAAATGTTCTGGTCTCCCACTGCATGATTTAAAACTCAAAGTGGGTGCTCTAGTCATGTCACTTAGAAGTATAGATCAGCGGGCTGGACTATGAAATGGTACAAGGTTTCGAGTTCTGGTTCTGAGAAAGCGTATAATTCAAGCAAAAGTGATATCCCGCAGCAATGTGGGAGATATTGTATATATACCTCGGATGTCACTCTGCCTGCTGTCAAACACTAGATCCTTTTAAGATGAAGAGAAGGCAATTTCCTGTGTCCATATGCTTCGCAATGACGATAAACAAAAGTCAAGGCCAATCTTTGTCTCATGTGGGATTATATTTGCCACGTTCAGTTTTCAGCCATGACCAATTATATATTGCTCTATCAAGAGTTAATTCGAGGCAAGGAATAAAGGTGTTGATATGTGACGAAGATGGTAATGTCAGTTCCAAAACTACGAATGTCGTCTACAAGGAAGTATTGCAAGACATATGATCCTTCATCTGAAATGGACGTTTATCCTTTTTTATTCTATATATTCATTTATTTGCATTTAAAACATCATTATATTCATATTGGATTTAGTTCTTCGTGTTTAATTTCGTCATTTATATCTCTAATATTCGTTGATTTATTACATATTTTTCGATAAATATATAAGTTAATTTTTGTCATAACACATGTTATGTTATTTGCATGTATATGTTCACCCTACACCTAGTAACTAATAATATTAATCTATAGTACTTAATTAAAGCAGCAAACAAAAAGGACATGTGTCAGCACCACAATGAAAATTTTTCCGCCAAAAGACATTTTCAATACAAAATTATTTTTAACATGTGGCACTCTAACTAATCAGAAAAAAAATAGAATTGATAAATACATAAATTCCTTAATTATAGCTACATAAAAATATCTTAATTATAGGTATATACTAATCCCTTAAAACAATAAAATTAAGTTGATAAAATCAAATGTAAGAAAATCCTCTTAAATCAAGTGAAACACCAGTAATGTCTTCCCAATCCCCAATTTCAAAGAATCTCTTCCATTCCGCCCCTCTCTCATACCCGGGCTTTTAAATCAATTACTTAAAATCTGACATCAAAACAGAGAGAAAATAAGATGTCATCAAAGAAATTTGATTTTTTAAAGATAATTTTTTTTTATTCTTCTGTTGTAGATATTGGCTTATGATTTATGTAAATCTGGGCATAGATTTATGTGTAATAACTCACTTTCTGTCCTTTCAATCGATTTTCTATTCTTCTAATTTTTTTTATTCTTTTAAGAATGATTTGTATTTTTTATTTAATCAATTTAAAAATACAGACGACACCCCGTGCATTCGCTTGGGGCAAACATCTAGTTTCTTTATTATCAAAAAATAGTAAAAAGTTAATCTAATTTTCTGTTTGTGAGAAACGCCCCTAAGGCCTTAACTCTGACTCATATAGAGCAGCAGATTGAGACAATCCATTGGTCACATCACGGGAACCGATGAAGATATGTATCAAATCAAATCTATCCAAATTTACATTCTTCTAAAAGTGAGTCAGTCTGAAAAACTGTCAACGTGTAATGATCTTATTTCCCCCACGTTTCGCCATTTCCCAATCTCCTTTTCCACTTTGCATTTTAATAATCCTACTATACTATATCTGATCTTTTTTTCCAAATCCCACAACTCTGCATTCCATTCCATTTCCACACTGAAGCAAACTTCCATTTCTGACACCATTTCAGAGATCAATTCCAAAAAGCTTTTTCTTTTATACCTCAGAAAAAAACAACATTTTGGCTATTACTCCGGCAAAGTAAGAACAACCCTCTTTGGCTCTTTCCCTCTTTGGCTCTTTCTCTGTCTTTTATTTTATTTAATTCTTACTGGTTTTGTCATTTTAGTAATCCTTAAATTCTTCTAATACCCGTTTCCATTGAGATGGTTCATTAATAAATGTCTGTACGCTTAAAAAAAGCTAAGCAATCGAATAAAGAAATGAAGGTAATGGCAGCTCTTGAAGAAGCATGGAGTTTCTTTGCTCATTTCTGCTGTGTTGTGTATTTTGCGGTGAAGGGTTCTTAGGAATGTTCAGAATTTACTCATTGTTTTGTTTTTGGTTTTCGTGGTTTGGCTCAATTCCTGTATTACATTCTCTGTTATTTTTGCTCTCCAGTACCTCCACTGGTTTAATATTTATGAAGATACGCAAGGAATGTGGTTAAGTGCTTTTGTGACTAACTAATTAAAGTATGTCATTGTTTGAATTGTTAAATTTGGTGTGGGATTTTATTTATTTATTTATTGTTATTATTTTTTGGTATATAGTCGACCCGGATAGTGTGATAAATGCTGAGAATTAGTAGATGATCAATGTTAGGTGCCGGTAATCGGCCTACATCAGAACAGAGAATCGTGCTTTGGTTTCTTAAATCCTTCCTAGATGTTATTGGTCGGGCAGGTCACCTTTATAAGATGAATGACCTTAGTATATATGAGACTGAGGTGATTTTTTTATGCAAACAGACTGGAGGATACTGAAGATAACATGAATTACAGTGACAGTTTGAATATTCGTTGGATGATTTCATTTGAAGAATAGGTTATTGATCTGGAATAGTACAAATAAGAGTTGGTGCATACCCTGCTTTAAATTATGCAGGCTTCCTATATGTGTTCATTTTAATCTACAACAATATCTATTTTTAGAGTGGAAGTTTCTCAATGTGAACTTATGTATTTCTCACCAAAGACTGTGATTGATAGCTGAAACTGAGTAGAGTGATGATGCACCTCAGTGCATATCCAATTGTTTACAATCATTTGAGCAATATTACTTTTCTGCTAAATCATAAGATTAAGAATTACTTCTGTTATGTCGAGGAGTAATGTCATTTTGATAGTTTATACCATACGAACGCTGGTTGCCACTTGTACAATCTACCCTTAAGCTGAAAAAGGTTAATGGGAACGTTATCAATTATGCTATAGCATTGGAAATAATTTTGAGCTCAAATATGCATAGATCACCTAAATGCTAAACCATTCAAATAGTTTACAATGAATTGTCAATGCTGCTTGTTTGGGAAGTTAGGCTCTTAGATTCAAGAGCTATAAGAAAACTCTATGCATTTATTATATTGTCTAGGTACTTGACTACCTCCTGTTCTGTTGTCTTGTACACTATAGCAATTGCTTTTGTTGACCTCAATCCAAAGTGTGCCACAGACACTTAATCTATTCAAAAATAGGATGTGATCTTCTATTTTATACTTTAACGTTTCTTACTTCAAGCTCAGTTTTGAGGCTACCTTTGAATTTTGCATATTGACTGACAAAAGATTTACATTGAAATTGTAATTAATTCCTTATTTGCACTGATTACACAGGACGGCTAACCTTATATTTTTCAATGGTGACAATGTGCTAGTATTGAGAAGAAATGCATTAAAGACAACTGAAGTGGTGAAACAATGGCAATGGTACAAGAATCGGGTTCTACCACAGTACTTTTGGTATCAAAGCCCTTTTTACTTGCCAAAGTAACATGTTTGTTTGGGATAAGAAGCACATGCATAGTTATTCTGACCTGGATTGAGCTGTTGAGAGCTGGCATCTGCTTCCAATTAAAACTACTCTGGACAATGATAATTTGGACAATTGCAATTTTGTCTCTGCCGGTTCGTGCTTTGAATGCTCTACAAAGAGAAAAGATGGTGAGTTATATATGTCTCTAAGTAATTCATGATTCTAAACAGTTTAATAGGTAGAAGCTTAACACGTGGTTTTCTTTATAAGTTGACGGTTTTAATTTAGTTGTTATCATTGCTCAACTGTTCTCTTGCATTAAGTGTTATAATTTAGTAAATTCAACTTGATCAATTAACCATGAAGGGCTAGTACATTAACTTTATCATTTTACTTCGCCATTTGCATTTTCGGTCCGGACAAAGTTACATTATGATTAATGGTTTCATGTGCATGTATTGTTTTTTCTTCTGGTGACTGGATATTTTTGGGTTCAAGTGTTCTTAAACTTTGACAAGGTGTGTTAATCGAGAAAGAGAAAAAGGAAAAAAAAAAAAAAAAACTTTATCAAGGTGATGAGACACTCGGCCAAAAGGAGATCCACCCTGTATAAGAGTGTTCAAACTTCTTGATTTTAGTATATAAAATCATCTTCTGTTAGAGTAAAGGTGAATGTTAGGAGTTAGTTTGAATTCCAACTTCAGAATTCAGGTTTTCTTTTATTTGTCTGCACAACAAAATCTAGCAGAAGACCACACCCCCGGCCGCCCACAAGGTCATTCTACAGATTTTTGCTTGTAAGATAATTATTACTTTTTTAAGGCTGTCAATGTGTGAGTCTCTTACTGATGCGAGAACAACTTACTCATAGCTGGAGGTGCGCATCCTTGAACTGCAAACTGAGTTGGAGTCCATGTCTTGGCATCAGAAGAAGCTAGAGGAGCGATTACAGATGGCTATCAGGGAACGGGGATTGTTGGAGGAGCTTTTAGTGGAGCTTGAGGATGAAAATGACGATGTGATTCGTAAAATGGAGGTGCTAGAGGCCGAGGTAAAAGCTGATCTTTGTTTAAGTAAAATTCATGCTATGTGCAGTTCACCTAGGGGAAAATTATTTCTTGGGGATTATGCAGAACTTGTGATCTTTGGTTGTATTGTTTTGCATGTTTTCCTAATCATTCGATCTGAGAAATTTGGTTCTTGCATTTGTTGAGCTACGTTGATGCCATTAATGACGTCTTAGATGCCAAGAACGTGGTAGAAGTTGCTTTGTGTCTTTTCTTTGTTGTGATTTTACAGTTTGAGGTCACATTTCTGCTGTATGCGACTTTGATCCCATCTACTAATACTTCCTCAGTTCAATCCAAATATTGGCATATTTTCTGCATTACTAAGTTTTTTCTATGTCAATTCGAGTTAGTGCCTCAAAAAGATCTCAGCATGCACTACGACTTCTCATACATGATACTGAAAACATACATAAGTATTGAGGTTTAAAGAGGCATGGAGTTCTAGAGGTAGATTGGGTCTCCATACAAGGTAGCTCATTATGGTTCTTTAAGCTTCATTGAAGATTGGACTTCCACCGCTTTTCAGTTGTGTTTGACTTTGATGTTCTGGTTGTTTAATGTGGTACTAGAGTTTCTGGTCTGAGTTTGGACTTAATACCAAACATTAGTCGGATAGGGTCTCACCCCTTTCCAATTGTGTCGACATTATGAAGCCTCAACCATCTATGTTTTCGGTTGCTTCCTCAATGCTCTGTCTAACTTCCGGCACTGTGTCCGAATCAAGGCTTTCACCTTGTCAATGTTCAACGTTGGAGCAATTCATGTTTGACGGAGTTGCTAAGAGGATGTCACACACTAGTTTCTCATGGATCCTAGGTGAACTATGAAATTTTTGTTTATTCCCATTGCTAAGTGGTCTTAGTTGAAAGCTACTGTGGCCTTCCTCTAGAAAAGGAAATTATGATAATAGTGCACCTTACTAGTAGGGAATGTTTGTTGCATGTCAACAAACTGGCAAAGGATGTGTTAAAAATCCTCTTCAAGGAATTTCACTGATTTATTTATTTTATTGAAAAGGATTGTGTTGCATCTCAACAAACTAGCAAAGAATGGTTTGAATACAGCCAGTGTAATAGAATAAAGCCCCAAACAACAAAATAGAAGGAGACAAGCTGCAGTGTTCCGTTATGGGAAGTGAAATCTTTCGGCCAAAACATTTTCCTCAGCGGGTAGTATTTAGTTTCTTGATCCCATGACATCATTTGACTTTTCTTTTGTTTAGGCTTGATCCTGTTTTAGGTCTCCAGGCAGGATAAGGTTAGAGGGAATAATAGTGTCAAGTTGTAGATACTGGAGTCATTTATATATCTTTGCACAATATGAAGTTGTCTTTTTGGACTTGGTTGCTTTCTTCATTTTCCCGTCTAAGGGAGCATGACAGCGCTGTATGATTCCTATAGCCCGTCCCACAGAATAAGCCAAATGCGAAGTAGTTTTTTTGAGCAGTGCAGGGATTTCCAAATCCCGGAACACTGCTTTTTTTAATCCTAATTCTTAGAGGGCTGATGTCAGAGTGTTATAGGGGTAGTCTGTATTCATTCGTGGATGTTCTCTGCTTACAGTTGACAACCTGAAGTTTCTATATGTGTAATAAACTAATTCTAAAAAAGTATGGTAGCATTGATTAGGAACAGTTGAACTGATGACTAACACTGACCAACACTGCCAATGTGCTAGGTCCGGGATTTGAGAACTGAGAAAGTCCGATTGGAAGGTGTCCATTCTGAAGCGTCTGGTTGCAAAAGATGCAAAGCTGAACGCCATATGGGAGGGGCCAACATTGCCCAGAATGCAGAAAAGTTCTCATTGTTGAAGTGCGATTACAATGAAAAGGAAGTTGAAGGGAAAATTGCACTAAGCAAAACTGAACCAGAATTGAGTGATATCAAAGAGGAAACGCGGGAGTCAGGAGGATTAACTCAACCATTTTCTCTCGATGTTATCGAGCAATGGAGGGGTGTAGCTCTTTCTCGAAGCTTTTTCAGTGCGATCTTATCACTTTCTGTTGGAATAATTGCCTGGAAAGCCAAAGACCCTTGCATGCCTCTTGTGGCAGCCCTTTTTGGTGTTGTCATCATCTCTCTCGGTAGTGTTCTTCGCTTCTTCTCCTCAGTTCAAGTCAAGCCAGGAAATGAAACAGTTGCCCTCTTAAGCCTCAATTGGTTCATACTGGGCATTTTGACATATCCTACACTTCCAAGAGTTGCTGATGAGCTAGCTCCATTGCTTCATAAGGCGGCAGAAGAAACTGTGAAGTGGTGGTTTGGTGGTTTTGTTGTCTGATTTAGCCTTGTGTAGGACGGCATTAAGAGTGTGTTTGTGAATAGTAGCAATCAGATGATTGGTTTTTGTTAGTCTTAGAATGTAGGTCTTTTAGATTTTATCCTAGGAGCAACACTGCGTCTTGTAATGTTAGTGTTTTTGTTTTGGACTAATAGATTTGGGTTGAGTTTAAGTTACAAAGTAGTGAAAATGCGATAATAACAGGTCACTAATCATGTAATTAACTGAAAAAAGTACCCTTCATGACAAATATATTCTGTTGTTCGTAATTCAACAAGGTGAACAGTTATTATCAGACAACCAGAGCACTTCCTTACATTACATATATGTTTTAATCTTGAAATCACATTTCATCCTGAGTGCGACGACAATGAATTTGTTCAATGTCACTGGTCTTCAACTGAAAAATCAGGATCCACAGGCTTTTGCAGTGCCCTAACAAAGTCCAATTCCATCGCGTTCCTCCTTGGTGTTAATGTAGTTGAATACCTCACAAACTTGGACGCTCTGGGTGGATATGAACGAGATCTATGAGCAACTGTTTCCGATGGAGAAAGATCATTATCATGATAACCGTCACAATCATCACCGCCACTTTCCTCATCATAATCATGGTCCATGTTCTCCTTTAACCTCAGTTCCGCGGCCTGTTTTCGCCGTTTGTATCGGTACCATGCGGCCTGGATGAAGCAAGCAGCCCAAGTCCTCCACTGATGGGAATGGTACCTAAAAGTATGCCTCAGTTTCTTGCTGTGCAATTTCCTGAATTGGGACGCCACGAATTTCACGTCATCCGAAACCAGTGCAAATGCTTCCACTTCAGTGATGGCTGTCACGGTGCGCGTGGACGAGGGGAGGATGATGCCCGGACGCGGGTTTAGCGCCCACGTCAGGAGTTCTTCGCCACAGAAATCACCCGGGCTGAGGCGAGACAGGTTGAAGAATCCGGTGCGGCCGCCACATGTCGTGTAGGAATCTAAATGGCCTCTTATGATGAATACCATTTCGCTGACAGGGTCACCTTCGCGTACCAGGCAAGTTCCGGGTGTGTATAAGAGTGGCTTTAGCCTTAAGCATATTGCATCCAGTGTGCACTCATCCATTTGATCGAAAAGTGGAACCTGTTTTTTTTTTTATATATATATAATTAATATTTTTGGCCAATGTAGTTTTAGAAAGCTGGATTAAATGAAAGTTCAGCTAGTAATTATTGCAATGAAAACGATAAGTGACTTTGTTGCACATCAGTCTTGCGTAATTTACTATTTCTATGGTTGTTATTCTTGTTTAAATAGCTTCATTCGTAATAGTAGAAGAACTTACCCCACGAACAAGTTCAAGGCATAAATGACGTTTGATGTCACGCCTGAGATCCAAAGGCAAACCCTTCAAAATGGCTTCTTCATTGACGCCTCTGGTGGTGACCCAATTGTACAAATCATACTTTCGGACTCTTTCTTTCAGATCATGAGGCAACTGCCTGTGATGCATCCATTGTTCTGTGTCGGTTCTTCTAACCCTCCATTCCTCTAGCCTTTGACCATGGGATTGCAAATATGTCTAGCGAAATTTGCAACACCAGAAATTCAGGTCACAAGATTTTGAACAATTTTTTTTTTTAAAAAAAAATTATTTTTGCGGTAGAAGAAAATCTCTCCTATCTCTAATAAACAGATTCCACTTCGTTGAACTGAAATATGTCTTTTAACGGAAATTAAAGACTACTAATCAACGTAAGGAGAAGGTAGTAACTTGTGCTTACTTGCATGTTCCCAATAAGCAAAGCAAAAAGAACCAGTCCAACTATTGCAATAGCAATAGCAAAATCTATCTCTCCCACATATGTACTTGTAAAAAGATTCTGCCCCAAAGAGCTGCCAAAGAAAAAAAGAAAAACACATAGCCAAAACTAATTAATGTCACCTCCATCTGTATAATCTATAAAAAGAGTTTCATGCATATTGAAAATGAAGTTGAAAAAATGGTTTCATTTCAAAGTACAAATTCCAAGGAACAAGAAGAGAGCGACAAAATTTTTTGTGACATATTAGTTAAATATTAGACACGTGTCCAGACACCGATTCATTAGGGTTAACTGACGATTTGATTAAGATGTTCATATTAATCATCTACTTATAACGTGTAAAGAAATTAATTAGCGTGACCAAAAACAAAAAAAAAAACCACCAACCATGAAATTAACAATCTTTTGAGACTACGAAAAGAACGAACTTTGTTGTTGTTGTTACCTTAGGTTTCTTAAACCCCACCAGACACAATAGGAGAATTTGTTGACAAAATCAGAAGATGCAACTTTATAAACCAGAGCATCAGCGTAGATTCCATAGTTGAAGAACCCTCCATTTTCAGGCGCACATAATCGAGAAATGTTGCTTGATAAGAACCATCTCACTCTGTCTGGATCGTACATTCTGCCACAATCGAAATACCTATACTGGCATTCTGGTTGTTGGTGAAGATCACATACTTTTTTCCAACATTGCTCTTGTCTCTCTATTGAGAGAAGGTACCAGCAAGAACCAATGACCTATATTTATAATCATTGAAAAATTCATAATTATTAATGAATGTGTACACGCGAATTTGATGTTAGCCACTCTTTTCGTCATCAATAGCTATGATGAATTTTGTTGGAATGAAGAAAATAATTCAACAAAGTAGACATACATTAATGTTTTGCTTTGCTATTGCCTTTTGTATATGGAAAGCAAAAAAAAAAAAAAGAGTTTTATTTTAAAATTATGATTCTTTGAAACAGACCATTTGGTTAAATATTTTAGGTGTCTGATACTATATTATTAAAAATATTACTTACCATTATATTAAAACTTTATTTTTGAAAAAATTATATCCTTTGACCGTGTCTCATTAGAAAGAGCACTTCGCAAAGTAGAAACTTTTATTACAAGAAACGGACAGATGATTCTAATTTCCAACCATATGTTAACAAGTATGTCTGATCAAAAGATATGAAACAAATTACCAGTTCTTGAATAAAGGACAAATGAACAATCAAATAGGGATGCTATTTCCTAACTTTCTTGAGTGAAGTTACGTAAGTTAAAACCTCTTAATTAACTTGCACGATGTAAACCCTTATATGATGAAATTAATTGTTCATTTTCTCAAAATGATTATTCATTTTAGATTTTTACATTTGGTTCAATTTGAATTAAGTATGAAAATCTAAACTTGGACAATCATTTGGAGATTGTATAAAGTATTTAGTTTAATTGAGAGGGTGTTGATAATTTTTTATTGACAAAAAAGGCACAAGTCGGAAAAAAGAGAGGGAAAAAAAAGAGCAGAAAAAAAAACCTACATATATAGAGTACTTACATGACTTGCGAGCATGTAAAGCAAAAGGTTGTAAGCAGCGCCAGCCCAAGCAGCTCCAACAATAACTCCAGCAGTCTTGATGATTTGAGATGACAGTGGAAATATGAGAATCAGTCTCAAATGGAATTGTAAGATTATGGTACATCTCAGCAGATTCTTTGCACTGATCTTATTCGAACCCCTTAGTATAGGAATTAGTGCCCATATCAACACCTACAATAAAACCAATTATATAAAGATCAATAAGCGACAAATAAATTTGACCCACCCACAAAATAATCATGTTTTTAGACTTAACACTATTTATAAAAGTAATTCATGTTGAGTTTTGTGGACATTTTTTTTTATATATAATTTTGAGACAAATACAGTAATAAAGTAAGCAGTTACCGAATCATTTCCGTATTTATCTTAGGAAAATAATTCACTCTCTAATTATATAATAAACAAAATACTGCTTAATTACCTGAGGCACGGGAAGGGCAGCAAGGAAATCAAGCCAGAAATCCTTGCGAAGATATCTGGAAGCAATCTTCCATGAATCAATAACAAGCTCTCCTCTCCCAAACACACGAGACGACGGCGCCACGTAAGCCGTTCGGAACCGAACCGCGATTTGGACAACGTAGAAAGCATCGACGACGGACCTAATGACAGTAAGAACCACTTCCAATGGAATACTCCGTACCATGCAGATTTCCTCCTTAACACTCGGCATGTAAAAAAACAAAGGGTCGATGAAGAGTGAAATCAGAGATGCGATCAAGAAGACCCGGTTCCAGATTTGCACGAAGGATCCTCGTGGGTCTAAGATCTTCTGATGGAGTAGTGTTGATAATTCGTAGTAATCCTCTGAAAAGACTCTTAACAGCTGCTTTTTCTTCTTCTTCTTCTTCTCTGTAATGTTCCTTTTCATGCATGACATTGATGATGATGATAATGATGGGTTTTTTACTTGCTGATGATCTTCATCAATGTTGTGGACTTGGCTTCTTGATTTTGGAGTTTCGAGGTCGTAGTTTTCCACATCTTGTTGGAATCTGAAATATACATTAATTGTTACATTAATGTGCATGTCACTTTGATTAAGTATTTAAGAAGTTTACCCTTACAATAATGAACTTGTTTTTACTGATCCATCAGAAAATGGAAAGGAAAGAATTTTTTTTTTTTTTTTTTTTAAAAAAAGCAATTCAGTATTCAATTTTCAGTCACTCGTCTGTTAGAGAAATGACATCGGGCAAAAAAATTAAATACATAAATTGGGGGAATCGACAAGCAATCACAAGGACTGAAAACATATTTAGAGAACTCATGAAGGAGCACATAAAGAACAAAAATAATCACCAATCATAATGGTATTAAAATGTAGTCTAATTCATATTATTATTTTTATTATTATGAAAAACGTTTTACTTGGTGATCGTATCTTCTTCTTTTTCTTTGTGTAACGAAGGTTTGGGGGGTGGCGGCGTGAAGAAGTTTGGAAAAAAGGATCACCACGGAGTATTGAATTTGGTCTTGATGAAGCTGTAACCAATAATAATTAATTAAAGAGAGCTGATCCGCTATTTTGTTTGGGTCTATTTCACTTGGTGTCATGCATAATTCCTTTGCTTTTATATATATATATATATATATATATATATATATATATATATATATATATATATAAATGTAATGGATTTTGAAATAATTCCAAACACACATAAAGTACTCCATAATGCACTACCATTTTCACTAGATGTGTATACTAACAAGAGGTTAACCCTTTCATTATCATGAATGCTCTTCAATTTAACATATCTTTAAGAACGGATATTGAACTAATTAAACCGAAGAATAAAAAGTTTTTGATGAACTAAACTTTATACTACCAACAAAGAATTTTGGGGGATCAGATTTTATTGAGTATTTTTTGAATCGTGTTTTTAAAGTACAGTACTAATCCCTAATTTTCATCTATAAAGCACAACAGATTGTCAGATACACATAAATTAATACAAACTACAAATTCTTTCCTCATGTTTAACAAATAAGAGTACGTATTAGGCATAGACCGATTAATTATGCAAGAAAAATGATAATCTCAAAAGAAAACATAATTACTGTAGATAAAACAAAGGACTGTTCACCAATGCGTGACATGATATTTGCCAGAACTATTGGAACTAATATCTTGATACTCTTTGGTTGATTTAATTAATGTACCTTACAGATTTAGCAGTTGTGTACTTCATCCCTTGTGATCCCCTAGAAGATGTATTGATCCTTTTCTTCTGAAAGATATCGAAGTAGAAAAGGGAAAAAAAAAAAAAAAAAAACTAATTCACGACGTACAATAAATTGTTGATATAATCGTGAATAACCAGAACAATTTGTGTGGTCTGAAAGGAAGAATTAATTAAGGGAAAGGGGGGGGAAAACACGAAAAAGAGACTTACTTTATGCTTTCATAATTTCATTTCAATGAATCGAAGTGCTCCAAAGGTCTGATCCTGCAACAAATTTTCATTCGTATGAAGTGAAACGATAGTATTGAACACTTTATAAGAGGTAGAACAACAGAACAAAACTCTGGATAAATTTGCTTAGTTCCACCATTCAAGAACCTTTTGAAAGTGACATATCTTTTTGGATTTTTTTTTTTTTTTTTTTTTTACTAACAGGGAAAAAAGAGTAATGCTAATAAAGAAGTAATTGTTCATATATGACAGGGAGATCTTGGCTGTATATTGAGCCATTAAGTACTGAGTTCCAAGTGTACCGAAATTAGTAATCATTTCGGAGGATCAGATTGATAAATTCGCGATTTCGTCATTCCAATCAATTGAATCTTCTGTAATCTGATTAGTAGATTTCCGCAATTTATTGAAACAGATTTGTACAAATATGTAACGAGCACTTTTTTTTTTTTCTTCTTTAGACAAGATTGATAAAATTCAGTGAATTGTTGAGATCTCATTGAATATGAATAACTGACCAAAAAATTTAAAATTTCTGCGTCAGATGAACATTTACCGGTCATTTACATCAAAAGAAAGTCAAAGAAAGAGAAGATATTTACTTTTACATATAGATATAACGAAAAAAGAGACCAAATTATCATAATTTTATAATTTTATATGTACATACTTATATTTTTAGAAGTTTGTAATGCACAAAAGCTTGACCATAAAAGTGAATGTGGTATGTTTAATCTCCAAATCTGGCATTTTTATGCTCAAAGATGCCAGATCATTGTCAATATGTATGTGATTAAATATTAATATACCGAACACTATACCGTGTGGTTAAAAAGAAGCAAAAGTAGCTTTTATATTTGTCGTTTCAGTTGACCCTTTTTTCAATTGTTGGAAAAAAGAAAATTGCATTTTAAGTCTCAAATCTTTTAGTATATGTTGCAAAACTGTTCTTTTAATCACCCTATTATATGTATGTCTAATTTCTTTGGCTTTCATCCTTCTAACAACTACAGCAAATATTATGCAAAAGATGAACTTTCTCTCAATACAAACAACTATCGTTTTGGTGGGGGAATATTAGTAAAATGCGTACGTATTTGAAACGTTTTGACCCGAACCCAATCGTGTTACGTAAAGTTTATTGGATCAGAAACGAGAAGGGGAAAATTCATATAAACAAACTCCAATCATTTCATTTGTTATAGAATAAAAATTTTAATATAGTGTCAGAATTTATTTTTGTTTTACATGTTTGTATTGCTTTCCGTATATATTTGGCATGAAAAAGAGGTTTTTAAAAAAAAAAACACAAAAGTAAAAAGAAAAAAAAAAGAGAAGATAAAAGATCAGTTGAAATGTTTGTATTGCTTTCCGTATATATTTGGCATGAAAAAGAGGTTTTTTAAAAAAAAACACAAAAGTAAAAAGAAAAGAAAAAAGAGAAGATAAAAGATCAGTTGAAGACCTTAATATACACAAGGATCCACTTTATTAATATTGGGGACCAATCATAAGATATAGATCCAAAGAATTAAGGAGATATGAAGAGGATGTTGACAAGTTCAAATGAAGTAATCAAAGTTACAACATAAGTGCTGCTCCAAGTTGGACCCTAACGAAGACATGGACTCAAAATGAGCTCATTACGTCCTAAATTTCATCATCATCGATCATATCATAATTTGAGAATATGAATTTGAATTTGATAATCGTGCCTAGACTAGTTAGTCGTTAACCTCTGGCATGTTTGAGAGTTCAAGTTAATAACTCGTCATTATTGTTTAGTAATACTACAAAATTACCATAGTCTCCCGTCATATGATCCGTGAATTTTTCTCTTTCCATTCCGTTTCTTGTAATTTTTACTTCATCTTCCTTTCCTTCCCAAAAGCCAGCTTTAGAACACGCAATTGCATGTTATTGCAGTGGCAAATTCAAAGTAGTAACAAACTCAATAACTACAACTATGTATCACAAAAAAAAAAAAAAAAAAAACTCGATAACTGCAACTTAAGAACTACAAACAATAAGAACCAAATTGACGAAGCATGGAATCTGCAGGTGCTCAGGACGGGCGGCGACGATGATCTAGGAGGCGGCAGACGGTCTAAAACTTGCAAGACAGAGCCTCGGGGGTCTCCCGAGGGTAGATTCTCCGATACTTAAGTTAATAAGGGAATAAAGATAATAGAGAGAGAGGGATGTGTATCGTGTGTAGAAGGTGTAGAAGATAGGTAGAAGATCTATATTATGAGAGATGCACCACCTCTTTATATAGAGGTGGTGTTACCTGTTTTCTGAAACCTAGTCGTATTAGGTTTAGGCGGTGACTTAATCTCCAAGTAACCTAATCCTAGGTCCAATAGGCCTAGGGTTAATTTATGACTCGTCAAGTGCCCATTGCAAACCATATTCTCGAGACTTGATGAGAAGAATATGGGTTGCTACGAGTGTTGATGTTTCCTCGAGTTTCGTAGTGTTGCCCCAGTTCTTGAACTCTTTCGTTCTCGGGTGTCACCTATATAAGATAAAGAGAGATAGAATGCCTCGAGGAGGTCTTTTGTGTTAGCGAGTTCCTTATTAAAAGGGGGAAGCCTGTTTATGCCGAATTAGGAGGATGGCGCCTAGATTCTCTTATTTGAAAGAGAGAAGCCTATTTTCTCTGATTTGAAGGGGAGAAGTCTATTTTCGGGGAGAAGTCTATTTTCTCTTATTTGAAGGGGAGAAGTCTTTTTTCTCTTATTTGAAGGGGAGAAGCCTTTATTGCCTGTCGTGCAGGTCTTTTATCGATATGCAATTTCACTCAAAAGGAGAATAATGTAGTAGTAATATATGAATATAGATTCAAGAAACGTATTTAGAAAAGGTTTGAGATGTACCTCGATCTCGAGATAAATTAATTATTCGAGAAAGTGTTACATCGATTCCGAGAAGGTAATTGTTGAGTAGATAAAAGTTGAGATACATCTTCTCGAACACTTCGAGGAGTATTATTGTGCTCGAGGTTTGCTTGCCCCTTCGAGGAGATGTATCTCTTGAAACTTCAATCCTCGAAATTGCCCCTTGCTTCGAAGAACTTAAGAGCTATCTGTAAAATTAGAAAAGTATTAGGAATTATAATAATCAAAATTATTAGGGTCTAAGTGGAAATTCTTGAATTTAGGAATTGTTCTCGGCTGAATATTCTGCCCCTTTCCATAGATTTTGAACTCCAGGGATTGTTCTGCAAAATTGAAAATTTTTAGGGTTAAAATTTTCATATTTAGAAACTTTAAGGACCACTCTGTAATTTTTTGAAATTACAGAATTTCTTCTCGATCAGCGTGGAGCAAGTGCGTCTCCATGAACTATTTGTGCAGTCGAAAGCTTCTTATGCTACTTGCTGGCTGACGTCTTCTTGGCCACACAAAGATAATTTTTGGCTTGATCTTTTAGTTGCAAAATCGGAGCAACGAATTAGCATCATGGCTCTTCAAAGACACCAAAAATTCCGTGTTTCGCTAAGAAATTTATTTGGTTGTGAAGACTAAACAAATCGGTCCCACCGGACGTGCCACTTGACGAAGCATGGAATCTGCACGGTGCTCAGGACGGGCGGCGACGATGATCT